CCTGACTTACATAATTACTATTAAAGATGCAAAAACTGCAGCCAGGTTTGAGTTTCAGATGTAAGAAATCATTCTACATGTGCTAAATGTTTATGTTTACACGTTAACACATCCTTCAACCATTCATTTGTGTATGAATTTTTAATCTGCATTTTGATGAAGGCCAACATGCAAAAAAATACACACATTGTCTGCTGATCTGCACATAACACTAAGTTTTCTAAAAGGAATTTAACAGGCAACATATTCAAGTAGTGTATTATGCATATTGTTGTTTAGTCTTAGCAGAATTGTTTCATTGCGATTGCATTAGAGTCAAACGTTTTTGCATTATTTGTTTCTTGGGGGGACATACTAAGTGAGTTAAAGCTGTTTTAGAGATTCAAAGATAAGCTTATGAGCATATAGCAAACTTGCAATGCTTTAAAGAGGTCCAGATATATACTATGACTTTACGAATTTCTTTGTCAGTTGCTTACTCTGTTTGCATACAAGACTTCCTGGATACATTTTGCTGTGCTGTTGGATTATCATATTTAATTTCTGTGTTTTAAACTTAATGCTTGGTCTATTTCTTTGTAGCTTAAGCTGTTGAGTGCTTTTAAATGTGCTCATAAATGCACTAACCAAGGATGGAGAGGGCAAAGCAACTCCTAGCGGGAGTGTGAAAAGAAAAAGGAAGTCCGAGATAAAGTATGGAAAAAATGCAAAAACATATTCAATGCCATGAGTGACGAAACTCAAGTAGTGCTGGTAATGCAATATGAAGTTAAGGTTACCCATGTTAACCTAAAGCCTCTGCAGCTGATAGATTGATTGATGTGTGAGTAAGTACTGCCAGTGGATGTGATGATGAAGAACAATATTCACTGTAACTCATATACCTAGTGCAAATATTTTTGGGGGCTCAAAAGGGACTAGGTAAATGCCATAGGAATGAATGCTTGGCATATATTGTTTATTTTAACACAAATATGTGTTTTCTGTTGATTTTGTATAGGGATAGAACATGACTAGGCCCCTTTAATCAACATATGCAGCAGCCTATTTACATTGCAATGCTGTTGCAGCTATAGTCTTTCAGTTTCTCTAGGTAATGTAATGAGCAACTGGGTCCCCATAATAAAGTGAAAGAAAGCCAGAGAGTAAGATGGCTGGCAATCCATTTAATCAAAGACGATCAATGGAGGCTAGTCCCATCAGTTAGAGTTAACCCATGAAGCCCGGAGAGGATGGGAGAGGCAGCAAATTGGAGGAAAAACCAAAGATAAAAAAAGGGATGAGAGGAGCATGGAGACATTAAAGGGTAAAAAGAGAGATGGAAGAGGAAGGAGGAGGAGGAGAGTTCATGAGGTTGATTTATAGCTGTGATACACTTGGGAGCTTTTAAGTGCTGTCCATATTTTCCATCTGATAAGAAGATTGAAATTATTCAGCCGAGCCCATATCTCACTGTTGGTGGGTTTGTGAGTGTCTACTGAACTTCACACTGCACTGTGATCATGTCTGTGCATATTTTAAAATCCTTTTTTTTCTCTACACCAGTAGATGTATAAACAGACTGTGTAAAACCTCCTGTGTTTTTGAATGAAGTTTAAAATAATGGTTAAGATAAAGTAGTATCCTATAAAGTTGGACTGCAATGATAGCTATGTTACACACAAAAAAAAAGTAAAGATTAATTTGAAAACAACTTATTCCTACCAGTGTACCTGCTTACTAAGTAAAAAACTGCACTACAGATGCTTATAAATTTACCTAACATTTGATTATTACTTGAGGATAAAGAGAAACACTCTTTATTACAGATGTCTACTATTCACGGGATAATAGGCACTTATTCTGGTACCAAAATTTCTATATTTTATCTATGGATGAAAGAAGTAGATAAGGCTATCTTAACACTTTATCTTGTAGTTTACTTTCCACAAACATGATTAATTTTATTGGGTCAGGGTTAATAGGAAAGTTTCATGCTGTCATTCAGTTTTATTTTGATAAAAACAAAAATGTTGTCCGCTTATTAGAAAGGTTTGTAGTATCTCTCATTCAGGAAACTCCTTACGGAAATGTACATGTTGATGTAGTTTATACTTTAGCTCAAGACAATGTGAAAAGAGGATCATCTCTCTGATCCATGTAGGTGTTAACAACTTCTTTCACATCCCAAACATATTGTCAGCCAAAGAACAAAAGCCCCCTGCAATGCAGCAGAAACGGTAATTAGTATTTCAAACAGGGGTTTCTATGTGTGTGTGAGTGGGTTGTGGAATGGGGAGAGGAGCTGGGGGGTGAGTGAAGAGATGGAAAGAAATGAAAAGAAAATGCTCAGTGGCAGGTTGAAGGAGAGAGATGGATACAGAGAAAATGCCCCCTCTTCCACAGTGTCACAATAGACTGCAGCTAATAAATCTGTGGAAAACGACACCTTAATTCCCTCTTAATGCTTGATTAGGAGGCAGTGAGCTGAGTGCACACTCAACCCTGTACTCCAACTCACACAAACATGCCGTCACACAAAGCAAATGGCCACAGAGGAGCAGCCCTGAGATGGGATACCAGGGATGCAGAGGAGCAACAGCAGGGGAGGTAAACAGTTTTGAAAGAATTTATGTCACTGGAGCAGTAAGAGGAAACAGAGGAAAGAGGGGTTTAGGGCAAATTTTTGCTGACAAGAAAATTCAGAATCTTCATTCTGTTCCAGTAACAGCAAACAGCTCATGTTAACAAAATTCTTGATGAAAGTGTTGCTGTCCCACTGCTTACTAATGAGCTCCCTCCCTCTGCCCGTTGTACTTTTTATCATGCCACCAATGCATTGGCGCAAAAAGCTGCAAAGCTTCAGCCAAAAGTTCAGATTTTAACCTTGTATATTTGCATATAATTGTTCTTTGGAAATTTCAAAATGAAAACTACAAGTGAAACCTTTAAATTTTGATAAAAAAACTAAAACAGCTTCCTACAAATAATCTGGATGTTATAGAAAACGGCATTTATTAAAGGGGTCATAGAATGATGCTATAGGGTATTTGGTGCTGGTCTCTAAATAGGGTGTGTAACATTGGTTGGACTGAAAATGGCATTTTTGCTTTCCTGTGTGCCCTAATTCAAGCCTGGTTAAAAGCCCTAGAATGAAACGACAGGTTTTCTACCTTTTATGGTATGCTCATGAATATTTAGATGAACTTGCGCTGATTGGTTGGTTTACAATGAGTGAAGCACTCACTTACTGAAACATCGAAAGTGTTGATATGGTAGGATGATCAGACGTCCTCTTTTTTCCCGGACATGTCCTACTTTTCATACCTAAAAAAATGTCCGGGGGGAAATTCAAAATCGTCCGGGATTTTGGTCGGCTACAGTGCAGCACGTAGTCGAAACACATCGAGCACTCGAACCAAGTTGTCAGCTCTGGGGTTGGTTTGGGAACCCCAGCTGAGGGCGGAGAGCCAGCGGGGGACGGAGTGACCAAACCCGACACGGTGACAATAGCCTGGACACCGGCAGCCCCGTGCTTCTTCCCGCCTGGACCGGACCCCAGCCCCCCTCCCGGCTGAGGACGGGTGGCTCATGGCTCTCTACTGAGGTCCAGACCAGTCAACGGCCCAGCAGTCGACATTTCCTACGACTTAATAGTAAGCTGGTGTTTTTCTGAAAACAACCACAGACCCCAAATGTCTCCAGTTTAGAAGAACCTTGGCAGGAAATGGCTCCTGAAGCTCTGACTCCGGCCGATACATTGTGAGTCTCTCATAAACTCTTGAATGGGTTTTCTTCATAATCATCTAAAATCTCAGATGTTTGCCTTTGACACAACTTTCCAAAGATCTTTCAAAGAGAGGTTTCTGCATTTCTGTATCACTTTGGCCCACGAACAAAAAGGACAACTAAAATGTCTACATTCTTCTCCTTCAATATGTGGCCCCTCAGATAACAGTACTTTTTAAAATGATTGTTTTTTTTTTTTTATTATTATTATTAGTTTAGATACTTGATTTGTTTTCATTAGTCTTAAACCATAATATTTAAAATTAGAAATCAATCAATAGAAAGTTGGCATTAGATTTGTGTATTAATAGAACAGAATCACAAACATAAATCAATCTTTCTTTCACATTATATAATATTAAAATTTACATCTGCACTTGTTGTGTTTGTATATTATACATTGAAGATGGAAATTTGAGACATAAATCGTCCTTTTTATATTTACATTCCAATCAGCCAAATCTTCATTGAAACCTTTTTTTTCCTCAACAACTTTAAGATTTCAGCAGGTCTGTCAAACAAAACAGAGTTGAAGGAACAAAGTTCAAGGAAGAACCTTGGAAAAAATAATGCAAATCAGTTGAAAATATCACAACACTTTGTGCCGTTTGAAAACCGAAATGTTCAAACGTGTAGTATGAAATGCATTTGTATCTTTTCTATTGTTTTTTTTCTGTGTACATTTCTTGTTTGTACAGGATATTCAATAAGCATGAAATGAAAATGTTCAGTCTGATGGGACCTGATCCAATCAGTCACAACTCTGAGCATTATCCCCCAACATATCCAAACCAATGAGCTCTCTGTTTTGTGTATTTGTACCGCAGCCAGCTTTAAAACATATTTATCTTTGTCTCTGTTGGATTTTCTCTGGAGTGTCAGACATGTGGGCTGGAGTGGACAGATGGTTTTCAGCAACATCTCATGGAGAGAGAAACAGAGCGTAGCGGCAGCCCCCAGTCTGTCCCCATCGGCAGCTTCAACCTCCAGTTTTGTTGTTTTGATCTGTCCTTTTTATGTCCTTATTGCTCTTTAAATTCTTTACATTTCCTTTTTATTTTATTAACCTGCCTTGATATTTTTTTCCTTTTTTCGAATACAACTTAATATTCCATCTCTTTACTGTACGGTTTTTAATAACCAACTAAAGATACACACACAAAAAGTAACCCTAAACAATGTTTTTTTCTGTGAAAAGATATTTTCCTACTCGAAACTGAAAATAAGTATACCTGTGTTGTAGTGCTTGGTGCAATAGCGCAGATCCTTCTCTTCCTTAAGTATAAACTGAGGTAACGTCAGGCCGTCTGCCACCTGCACGGCTCCTTTCTCGTCCCACTCAAAGATCAGGTCATTCATAGTGTAGCCAACTGTAAAAGAAAGCAGAGGGTCAAAAAATCTGAACCAACATGTAGATCATTTAAGAAGGATGATGATGTTTCTGGTCCTTGCTGAGTCACAGCGAGACCTTTACCTCCTGTATCCATAATCAATATAAACAAAACCATGTTTTTGGTGTTTGCTATCAACAGAATAGTTGTTCTTACCTATTTTCCAGCAAAAATCTCAAGAAAGAAGGGGTTTAAGAGGAAGAGTTCCACAGCAAAAACTAGTTTTTTCAAACTTACAACCAATGCTGATGCTCGAATCTGAACATTTGCACTATGCAGCTTTTTTGTCTTTTTCGAGAAAGGTGTTTGAAATGTGTCCCATTGAGAGAAAGCCTCTAGACAAGGTTTTGGTTTAAGACTGACAGCTCTCAATTTCCATGTTGTGGCTGATCAGTGTAGATTCACATAGTTCTCAGAGATGCATTGACAGCCTCTCTGTGTACTTTCTCTGATTTCCCTCGGTCCATTAAGAGAATAGAAAGGCAGCGGAGAAATCTGCGCCCAATCCCTCAACCTGTCATCACAGCGATTGATTGGCTGATGCCTGTGCTTCAGTGCGCGTTGATACTCACAGCTCTCCAGCTGCATTATGCAGGTCTGGACGTCCATGGGGAAGTTCTTCAGATCCATCGGACAGGCAAGGACCAGAGTTATTCTGCACAAAGAAACAAACAAGATTTAAGCAAAAGGAAAAACATCTTAAGAGTTTTCTCTTTTCCTCAATACCACCATTTTCCAGGTAAATACCACCATAATAAATTCAGATGTTTTTAAAGATAATTACATTACAATACAATAACAATAACAATACAATAACAATAACAATACATTACAATAACATTTTTTCTTTTATATACATTATAACATTTAAATAATGTAAAATAGATGTTGCTAAGATGTGAAAAACAACAAAAACCAGTTCTGCATATTTGAAAGAAACATACAGATCAGTTAGTATTGGCTGGAACGTATATGAAAATTTCAGATTTTGGTATTTGCTTCTC